GTAAAATTCATTCTGCTAGTCAGCGTTTTCTGATTGTGGAGTTTAAGCCACAATGTAATTACACATTAATGTAATGTACATAATTACATTAATGTAATTACTGATGGAGAAGGACTCATTGTTGCCATTTTGCTAAATGTTTACTCTGTCTCCTTTAGATTATTTTGTTCTTCATTTCTGTTACCGCCTTTGTGTTTATTTATTTGATTCATTTGTCTTGACATACTTTTATTTCCATTGTGTATGTCTTCTATACATTCTTTGTGGTTACCATTGCAATTACAGAAAATACTTTAGATTTATAACCTCTTTTTTTAAACTCATAACAGTTTAACTTCAATCACGTACAAAAGGGACTGCTTTACAGGCCTGCTTCCATGTTATGTTTTTGATATCACTGATTACTTCCATATATACTGTGTCTCCATGAACATGTATTTAAACCTTGACAATAGTTTCCTGCTTTCTTAGTTTTCTCAGACTAATCTTTGCCTATTTTGCTAGGGTTTCTTCTTCTGTACAAATACAAAAGCTAGCAGAAGACAAGAAATAACTAAGATCAGAGCAGAACTGAAGGAGATGGAGACACAGAAAACCTTTCAAAAACCAATAAATCCAGGAGCTGGCTTTTTGAAAAGATCAACAAAACAGACTTCTAGCCAGACGAATAAAAAAGAAAAGAAAGAAGAATCAAATAGATGCAATAAAAAATGATAAAGGGGATATCACCACCGATCCCACAGAAATATACATTACCATCAGGATTACCACAAACAACTCTATGCACATAAACCAGTAAATCTAGAAGAAATGGTTAAATACTTGGACACACACAACCTCCAAGACTAAACCAGGAAGAAGTGGAATCCCTGAATAGACCAATAACAAGGTCTGAAGTAGAGGCAGCAATTAATCACCCACCAACCAAAAAAAGGCCAGGTCTAGATGGGTTCCCAGCCGAATTCTACCAGACATACAAAGAGGAGCTGGTGCCATTCCTTCTGAAATTATTCCAAACAATACAAAAAGAGGAAATCCTCCCTAACTCATTTTATGAGACCAACATCATCCTGATACCAAAACCTGGCAGAGATACAACTAAAAAAGAAAATTTCAGGCCAATATTCATGAACATCGATGCACAAATCTCGAATAAAATACTGGCAGACCGAGTGTCAGCACATCAAAAAGTTTATCCAGCACGTTCAAGTAGGCTTTATCCTGGGGATGCAAGGCTGGTTCAACATATACAAATCTATAAACGTAATCCATCACATAAACAGAACCAAAGACAAAAACCACATCATTATCTAAATATATGCAAAGAAGGCCTTCAACAAAATTCAACAGCCCTTTATGCTAAAAACTGTTAAACTACATATCGATGGAACATATCTCAAAATAATAAAAGCTATTTATGACAAACCCACAGCCAATATCATACTGAATGGGCAAAAATTGGAAGCATTCCCTTTGAAAACTGGCACTAGGCAAGGGTGCCCTTTCTGACCATTTCTGTTCAACATAGTATTAGAAGTTCTAGCCAGAGCAATCAGGAAAGAAAAAGAAAGGGTTTTCAAGAAAAGAAATAAAAGATACTCAATTAGGAAAATAAGTCAAATTGTCTCTATTTCCAGATGACATGATTGTATATTTAGAAGACCCCATTGTCTCAGCCCAAAATCTTCTTAAGCTGATAAGCAACTTCAGCAAAGACTCAGGATACAAAATCAATGTGCAAAAATTATAAGCATTCCTATACACCAATAACAGACAAACAGCCAGATGATGACTGAACTCCCATTGAGAATTGCAACACAGAGAATAAAATACCTGGGGATACAACTAACAAAGTATGCAAAGGATCTCTTCAAGGAGAACTACAAACCACTGCTCAAGGAAATAAGAGAGGACACAAACAGATGGAAAAACATTCCATGCTCATGGTTAGGAAGAATCAATATCGTGAAAATGGCCATAGTGCCCAAAGTAATTTGTAGATTCAATGCTATGCCCCTCAAACTACCATTGTCCCCCTTCTCAGAACTGGGAAAAACCGCCTTAAACTTCATATGGAACCAATTAAGAGCCCACATAGCCAAAACAATCCTAAGCAAAAAGAACAAAGCTGGAGGCATCATGCTACCTGACTTCAACCTATACTATAAGGCTACAGTAATCAAAACAGCATGGTACTTGTACCAAAACAGAGATATTGACCAATGGAACAGAACAGAGGCCTCGGAAGTAACGCCACACATCTGTAGCCATCAGATGTTTGACAAACCAGACAAAAGCAATGGGGAAAGGATTCCCTGTTTAATAAATTGTATTGGGAAAACTGGCCAGCCATGTGCAGAAAGCTGAAACTGGACCCCTTCCTTATACCTTATACCGAAATTAACTCCAGGTGGATTAATGATTTAAACATAAGACCTAACACCATAAAAACCCGAGAAGAAAACCTAGGCAATACCATTGAGGACATTAGCATAGGCAAGACTTCATGACTGAAATACCAAAAGCAGTGGCAACACAAGCCAAAATAGACAAATGGGATCTAATTAAACTCCAGAGCTTCTGCACAGCAAAAGAAACAATCATTAGAGTGAACTGGAAATGAACAGAATGGGAAACAATGTTTGCAATGTACCCATCTGACAAAGGGCTAATAGCCAGGATCTACAAAGAACTAAAACAAATATACAAGAAAAAAACAACCCCATCAAAAAGTGGGTAAAAGATATGAACAGACACTTTTCAAAAGAAGACATTTATGAGGCCAACAAAGAAATGAAACAATGTTCATCATCACTGGTCATTAGAGAAATGCAAACCAAAACCACATTGAGATACCATCTCATGCCAGTTATAATGGCGATCATTAAAAAAATCTGGAGATACCAGATGCTGGAGAGGATGTGGAGAAATAGGAACGCTTTACACTGTTGGTGGTTGTATAAATTAGTTCAACCATTGTGGAAGACAATATGGCGATTCCTCAAGGATCTGTAAATAGAAATTCCATTTGACCCAATAATCCCATTACTTGGTATATACCCAAAGGATTATAAATCATTCTGTTATAAAGACACATGCACACGTGTGTTCATTGCGGCACTGTTTACAATAGCAAACACCTGGAACCAACCCAAATGCCCATCGATGATAGACTCGAAAAGGAAAATGTTGCACATTACACCATGAAATACTATGCAGCCATAAAAAACGATGAGTTTGTGCCCTTTTTAGGGACATGGATGCATCTGGAAACCATCATTCTCAGCAAGCTAACACAAGAGCTGAAAATCAAACATTGCATTTCTAACTCATAGGCGGGTGTTGAACAGTGAGAAAACATGGACATAGCAAGGGAAGCCTCAAACACTGGGGTCTGTTGGGGGTGGCTAGGGGAGGGGCAGTGGGGGATGGGGAGATTGGGGAGAGATAACATGGGGAGAAATGCCAGATATACGTGACAGGGGAATGGAGGCAGCAAACCACCTTGCCATGTATATACCTATGCAACAATCCTGCCTGATCTGCACATGTACCCCAGAACCTAAAGTACAATTAAAAAAAGAAAATAGAAAACAAAATCTGGAGACAACAGATACTGAAGAGGATGTGGCGAAATAGGAACACTTTTACACTGTTGGTGGTAGTGTAAATTAGTTCTACCATTGTGGAAGACAGTGTGGCAATTCCTCAAGGATCTAGAACTAGAAATACCATTTGAACCAGGAATCCCATTACTGGGTATTTACCCAAAGGATTATAAATCAGTATTTTATAAACACACATGCACACGTATGTTCATTGCAGCACTGTTTACAATAGAAAAGACTTGGAACCAACCCAAATGCCTATCAAAGATAGACTGCATAAAGAAAATGTGGCACATATGTACCAGGGAATACTGTGTAGCCATAAAAGAAGGATGAGTTCATGTCCTTTGCAGGGACATTGATTAATCTGGAAACCATCATTCTCAGCACACTGACACAAGATCAGAATACCAAACACCACATGTTATCACTCATAAGTGGGTGTTGAACAATGAGAACAGAAGGACACAGGCAGGTGAACATCACACACTGTGGTCTCTTGGAGGGTGGGAGGCTAGGGGAGGAAGAATGGGGGCTGGGGAGATTGTGGAGGGATAACATTGGGAGAAATACCTAATGTAGGTAGCAGGTGAATGGAGGCAGCAAACCACCATGGCATGTGTATAATCCTGCAAGATCTGCACATGTACCTGATAACTTCAAGTAAAATTAAAAAAAAAAAATTGTAAATACAAAAGAAAAGTTAGTGTTCTCAACATATTTTCTACTTATGCTATCTTTAGAACATATGTTCTTGCTTATTATAAAGGGAGAATTGTTTAGAATTCCATACTATAAATTTTGTATATTTACATATAATGCAAATTTAAATATGCACTATATAAATTTGTAGCATGGAATTATAAATATATTGTATATTATATTTTACTTACCTGCTGGTTTTATCATGGGTTATTAGAAGTTTTATTTATTAATTCATATGATTATTAATTAATTAAACTTGTTAACATTTACCATTATACTATATCTTGCTGTAGTTTGGCATTTGTTTGTACACAGTAAATATGAATTAAATATATATAACTTTTATTCTTTTCTGTTCCGAGAGAGCCATATGTTTACTGCCAGTTGGTGTGTAATTTGCTGTTATTAGTTGCAAAATACTTCTTTTAGTGCTAATATATGTTTGCACAGCATGAGTCTTTGGTCGTAGGATGTTTGAAACTAGGCTTTCCTAAAATTTGATTTACATGTTGTCACCCTTTCTTTACTATACAATTCTATTCGTTTTGTATTTCTAAAAAAAAAAGATCATGGTAGAGAACTTTCACACCTGTCTACATTATGTTTAGTGTAGTATGGTTCCATTATAAAATATTTATTTATCAATAATAGTTATTGAAAAAAACCCATGTTCATTATATTTTGCAGGTATCTCTCCTAAATGTATGATCAAGGAATTACCACCAACAGAGAACAGTAATATAAGAGAAAGATTCCAAACAGTGACACTGGAAAGACATCAAAGCTACAATCTTGAAAATTTATACTTCAGGGAAATACAGAAAAATCTACATGGCCTTGAGTTTCAATGGAAAGATGGTGAAAGAAATTATCAAGAAGTGCCAGTGCCCCATGAAAACAATGTTGCTGGTAACAGAGCTCAACATAGTCAAGGGGATGTAGAAAACAAGCATACTGAAAACCAGCTTACGGCAAGCTTTCAGTCACACCTGGCTGAACTGCAGAAAGTCCAAACTGAGGGGAGAACTTATGAATGTGATCAAATGGTGAAGACAAGTAATAATGGTTGTTTAGTTTCTCCACACATTAGGGGAAAATCTTATGTGTGTAATGAATGTGGCAAAACGTTTGGAGAGTCTTCCAGTCTTAGTACTCATCAGATGATACATACTACAGAGAAACCTTACAAATGCAATGAGTGTGGCAAAGCCTTTTGTCGGGCCTCACTAGTAACTGTACATCAGGTAGTCCATACAAAAGGGAAACCATGTCAATGTGATGTATGTGGCAAGATCTTCAGAAAAAAATCATATTTTGTAAGACACCAAAGGAGTCACACTGGACAAAAACCCTACATATGTAATGAATGTGGCAAGTCCTTTAGTAAAAGTTCCCACCTTGCTGTTCATCGGAGAATTCATACTGGTGAAAAGCCTTACAAATGTAATATGTGTGAGAAATCTTTTAGTCAACGTGTCCATCTTAGACTTCATCAGACAGTTCATACTGGTGAGAGACCCTTCAAATGTAATGAGTGTGGCAAAACCTTTAAACGGAGCTCAAACCTCACTGTACATCAGGTAATCCATGCAGGAGGGAAACCACATAAATGTGATGTATGTGGCAAGGCATTCAGACATAGATCGAATCTTGTATGTCACCGGAGAATCCACAATGGAGAGAAACAATACAAATGCAATGAATGTGGCAAGGTCTTCAGTAAATGTGCAAGTCTTGCAGTGCATCGGAGAATCCATACTGTAGAGAAACCTTGCAAATGCAATGAATGTGGCAAGGTGTTCAGTAAACGTTCAAGTCTGGCAATGCATCAGAGAAGTCATACTGGACAGAAACCTTACAAATGCAATAAATGTGGTAAGGTCTACAGTAAGCATTCACATCTTGTAGTGCATTGGAAAATTCATACTGGAGAGAAAGCTTACAAATGCAATGAATGTGGCAAAGTTTTCAGCATATATTCACGTCTTGCAGCACATCAGAGAATTCATACTGGAGAGAAACCTTACAAATGCAATGAGTGTGGCAAGGTCTTCAGCCTGCATTCACGTCTTTCAGTGCATCGGAGAATTCATACTGGAGAGAAACCTTATAAATGTAAAGAATGTGGCAAGGTCTTCAGTGACTGTTCAGCTTTTGCAAAGCATCGGCGAATTCATACTGGAGAGAAACCTTACAAATGCAAAGAATGTGGCAAAGTCTTCAGTCAGTGTTCACGTCTTACAGTCCATAAGAGAATTCATAGCGGAGAGAAGCCCTACAAATGCAATGAATGTGGCAAGGTCTACAGTCAATACTCACATCTTCTAGGGCATCGGAGAGTTCATACTGGAGAGAAACCTTACAAATGTAATGAATGTGGCAAATCCTTTAATCAGGGCTCAACACTCAATAGACATCAGAGAATTCATACCGGAGAGAAACCTTACAAATGTAATCAGTGTGGAAATTCCTTTAGTCAACGTGTCCATCTAAGACTTCATGAGACAGTTCATACTGGAGACAGACCCTACAAATGTAATGAGTGTGGAAAAACCTTTAAACGGAGCTCAAACCTCACTGCACATCAGATAATTCATGTAGGAAGGAAACCATATAAATGTGATGTGTGTGGCAAGGGATTCAGGCATAGTTCACATCTTGTAAGTCACCAGAGAATCCACACTGGAGAGAAAAGATACAAATGTACTGAATGTGGCAAGGCCTTTGGACGGTTGTTTTCCCTCAACAAACACCAAAGAATTCATTCTGGCAAAAAAACCTTATAAATGTAATGAGTGTGGGAAACCCATTATTTGTTGCTCAGGCCTCACTAAACATCAAATAAGACATACTGGAGAGAATCTTACAACTAAACTCAATATGACAAGCCTTAGACATTGTCCTAGCTTCTGGAATCGCCGAATAATTCATACTTAATAATATAGCTTGTATATGTATCCCTTTTTTGAAATCTCATGTGGAATTGTAATCTCCAGTATTGGAGGTGGGGTCCATTGGGAGGTGACTGGATCATGGAGGTGGATTTCTCCAGTTAAGAAAGATTCAGCATCATCATTGGATCTCAAGATTTAGCATCATCCTCTTGGTTCTGTCCTGGCAGTAGTGACTTCTCTTGAGGTCTGTGTATTTAATAGTGTACAGCACTTCCCTGTTGCTTGCTCTCATTCTCACAATGTGAAATACCTACACCCTCTTTGCCTTCCACCATGATTTTAACCTTCCTGAGGCTTCCCTAGAGGGTGATCAGATGCCAGCATTTTGTTTCCTGTTAAGCCTGCAGAAGTGTGAGCCAATTAAACCTCTTTTCTTTATACATCAGTCAACCTCAGGTATTTTTTTCTAACAATGCAATTGTGACCTAACGCCTTTACACATGCAGTGAATATACCTATGTTGTAAGCTAGTGTTCACTACTCACTAGGTGTAGGAATATACATCCTGGAGATAAATCACAGAAGTATAATATGTGTGGCAAGAATTCCCAAAAGCCAAAACTTATGAATCTATAGATAATTCAAAGGACATAGATGTACCAATGAAATGAGGGTGGGAAAACATTTACTAGAGTTCAATCACTACTTGTCATAAGAGAGTTTATACTGAAAGGAAATCATATAAATGTATGTGTCAGAGGCTTTCCCCAGGCATCAGAACTCACTAGACATCCGAATATCCATCTTTGAGAGAAACCAAAGAAATATAATATGCATGCTAAGGCTTTTACGTGAACATCAAAATGGAAACAGAGCATTCATACTAGAGGGCAGCCTTACAAATATAATAAAGGTGGTGAGGCTTTTTAAAAAATCAAATGTTCAAAAACCTGGAATCAACCAAATTGCCTATCGGTGATAGACTGGATAAAGAAAATGTGGTACATGTACACCATGGGATACTATGCAGCCATAGAAAGGAATGAGATCATGCCCATTGAATGGATGGAGCTGGAAACCATTATCCCCAGGAAACTAACACAGGAACAGAAAACCAAACACCATATGTTCTCACTAAGTGGAAGATGAACAATGAGAATACGTGGGCCCAGGGAGGGGAGCAACACACTGGGGCCTGCCAATGGGAGTTGGGGGTTGGGGAAGGGGAACATCAGGAAACATAGCTAATGCATTTTTGCCTTGATACCTAGGTGATGGGTTGGTAGGTGCCGCAAACCACAATGGCACATGTTTTCCTATGTAACAAACCTGCAAATTGTGCACTTGTACCCCAGAACTTAAAGTGAGACAAAACAAATGCTCATGTCTTTGTAATTTGATTGAGCATATAGAGGAGAAGCATCCTACAAATGTGCTGAACATGAAAGGGACTTTAAGCAGTAGTGTGTCTTCAGGCTTTACCAAATTATTCTTACTTGAGAGAAACCTTGGAAATGTAATCAATGTGGTAGAAATTTCAACCATTTATTTCAACAGACTACATATCTTTGAAATCATCGGATAACCAAATCTACTTCTCCAAGATTGGCCTGGAATATTAATGACAGAATAACTGCAAGACAAAATTCGTTAAAACTCAGGACAACGTGTACTTTAAAGGAACAAGTGCATGTGTGGAAATGGCTCATTCAGTTTATACAATATTGTATTAAATTTGAGGGGTTTTTGTTGTCGTCGTTGTTTGTCTTTTGACAAGGAGTCTCGCTCTGTTGCCTAGGCTGGAGTGCAATGACATGATCTTGGGTCACTGCAACATCCGCCTCCTGGGTTCAAGCGATTCTCCTGCCTCAATTTCCCAAGTAGCTGGGAATACAGGTGACTGCCACCACACCTGGCTAATTTTTTTATTTTTAGTAGAGATAAGGTGTCACCATGCTGGCTAGGCTTGTCTCGAACTGCCAACTTCAGGTGATCACCCACCTCAGCCTCCCAAAGTGCCAGAATTACAGGCGTGAGCCACCGTACCCAACACAAAAAGAGGTTTCTGTTTTTTTCTTTTGTGACAGAGTCTTGCTCTGTTACCCATGCTATAGGGTAGTGGCACCAATTCACCTCACTCCATCCTTTACATCTTGGGTTGAAGGAGTTTGTGCCTCAGCCTCCCAACTAGCTGGGGTTACAGTCACACCACCCTGCCTGCCTAACTTATGTATGTTTTTCTAGAGACAGGATTTCACCATGTTGACCAGGATGTTCTCCATCTCTTGACCTTGAGACCCGCCTGCCTTGGCCTCCCAAAGTGCTGGGATTACAGGTTTGTGCCATCGTGCCCAGTGGGACATTCTTAAAGCAGCTACTAGACTATGACCTTTATCCTAAAGTTTGAAGTCTGTCACCTTCCTTACATATCCTTCATTGTGGTCTCTGGGAATGAACCATCAAGAAAGAGGGGCTACTTCATTTGGTGTGGTTCCTTCATTTCCATGCTGCCTGAAGATTAAGACCATTGAATTTTAAAATTCAGTGTCATGTGAGTTACACAGCACGGAATAATTGGGAGAATAATGTAAGTTTTTTTTTTTTTTGAGACGGAGTTTCACGCATGTTACCCAGGCTGGAGTGCAATGGCGTGATCTCGGCTCACAGCAACCTCCGCCTCCTGGGTTCAGGCAATTCTCCTGCCTCAGCCTCCTGAGTAGCTGGGATTACAGGCACGCGCCACCATGCCCAGCTAATTTTTTGTATTTTTGGTAGAGACGGAGTTTCACCATGTTGACCAGGATGGTCTCGATCTCTTGACCTCGTGATCCACCCGCCTCGGCCTCCCAAAGTGCTGGGATTACAGGCTTGAGCCACCGCGCCTGGCCGAATAATGTAAATTATGACATAAATTTTGCTTGTGTTCAGGGTGTCCATTCAGGTGTAGAGTGCCACTTTGGGTTGCAGGAAATAATTGCACAGCCAACTGTCTGAAATACCAGTGAGGACACTGATGGAATATTAACGATATTAATGGGAGGCAAGTGATAGTTTAATGAAGATGGATTGTGTGGCAGAAATAATGCAAAGGAAATGGTGGTCATCTACATTGAATGACAGCTGTTTTATCTTAAAGAGAAATTTAAAATTAGTCTTATTCTTAGAAGTAGTAGTCTGCAGTTACCAGAGAGGAGAGTTTAATCAAAATCAGAATGGCATGTTCAAGAGTCAGATTCCCATTGAAACATTTATTATATGTTACTGCTGTTGCAATCAGAATGTATCAGAAGTCTCATGGTTCAATTAACAAAACGTTATCATTTCTGTCCATAACTCAGTGACTCCTTTAACCAACAGATTTATCCTACCTTACTAAAGAACTTTCTAGCAGACACTGCACCATTACACTCTGCTGGTTAAAATAATGTGTGACAATTGTTTTCTATGGTGAAATCAAACAACATAGATTTTTACCTATACCTCAGTCCCATTTAACCCATGGGATGCCTTCCAAGTGTTCTCTATTGGGTACCTGAAACTGGATAGTACTGACCCCTAAATATACAGTTTCAGTCACGTTTTGAGGTATGACAGCAAAGCAAGCCCTGATTATTTTTATTTGCAGTCATGTACAGATTTATGGTAAATCTTAGCACTTCATATAATGTTTTTTGTTATTAAATCAATAACCTTTCACTTTTTAACTTAAACGAGGCACTTTACAACTTTCTTGCTTTCTCTCTCTCGCTCTCTTTTTTTTTTTTTTTTTTGGTGGTGGTGGTTGTTGTTAGGGGGTTTTTCTACGTCACCCAGGCTGGAGTGCAGCAGTTATTCACAGGTGAGATCTTAGCACATTGCAGCCTCAAAAAATGGTCCTCCCACCTCCACCTCCAGACTACCTGAGATTACAGATACATGCTATTGTGTCTAGCTTACAGCTTCTCTGAGATATTCAAGTTGCAGGCATCACAGCTTTGGTGCCTTAGGGCCATTATTAAGTAAAATAGGAGTTAATTGAACAAAAACACCATAATACTCTAAGAATGTACTAACTATGATGACTACAAGAAACTGAGTAATGGGTAGGTTTTTCTCTCTGGCTACACTGCATGAAAGAATGATTATGTCCTGGTTGGAACAATGTGAGATTTTATCACATCACTGAGTACAGTGCAGTTTGAAATTTCTGAGGTATTTGTTTTGGGAACATTTCATTTAATGTGTTTGGACCACAGTTGTCAAGGGTAATTGAAACCATGGAAAGCAAAACTCCAGGTAAGGTGGAATGACTGTACCAGTGTGTTGGAAGGAGGGAGTCAGCCTGTTTGGAGAAGTAAGTTTGTGATTGTGACATAGCAGCTTTGCACAAAACTGCAATTTGTCAGTTCACCAATATTGATCATGAAAATGCATGCTTGGTGAGCTTAAGAATATTCCTGAAAACCTTTGTTCCCATTGCCAATTCCTGAAAACAGTTATGAGTTCCTAAAGAACATCACCACAAAGATATTTGGGAGTGTTTGGTAAAGGCTTTTTCTTTTCAATGATTGCTGAAGGCAGGACAGGATCAAATAGAAATAGAACATTGTAAGTTCTGAGACCTGATGGACAGTAATATGGAAAATTTCTTGTTTTGCCTATTTGTGTATCTACTTGAGTGAAATTTCTCCGCATGTTTTTACCTGTATTCTAATTCAGTTGCTTTTTTGTAAGATATACTTTACTTCGTAGAGCAGGTTTTGGTTCCCAGCAAAATTTAGTGGAAGGTACAAAGATTTCCCATATAGCTCCTTCCCTGACATATGCGTAGCCTTCCCTGTTATCAACTCCTCCACCAAAGTGGTGGATTATCACCCAACATCCCTAGTTTATATTTGGCTCACACTTGTACATTGTGTGGGTTTGGAGAAGCATAAAATGGCATGTATTTACCATTATGGTAACATATGGTGTACTTTCACTACCCTAAAAATCCTCTTTGTGGCCAGGCATGGTGGCTCATGCCTGTAATTCCAACAATTTGGGAGGCCAAGGCAGGCAGATCACCTGAGATCAAGAGTTCAAGGCCAGCCTGGCCAACAGGGCGAAAACCCATCTCTACTAAAAATAGAAAAATTAGCTGTGCATGGTGGCACGCGCCTGTAATCCCAGCTACTCAGGAGGCTGAGGCAGGAGAAGTCACTTGAACCTGGGAGGCAGAGGTTGCAGCGAGCAAAGATTGCGCCATTGCACTCCAACCTGGGCAATAAGAGTGAAACTCCATCTCAGAAAAAAAAATTCCTCTTGCTTCACCTAGATTTGTATATTTCTTTCTCTTCTTTCACTTGGTGCTTCCCTAGTTTTGCTGTTGTTTTTTCATGCATACACACTGATGATTCTCAAATCATCTTTGCAAATTGAGATTTTTATCATGTAACCCCCCCCTGTTTTTCCCTTCGGGTATTT